TATCTGTACTGGTAGGCTGGCTAGCCCAGTACCAGTAAATACACACATGCTCTGAATTAATTCCCTGGGGCTGCCACACTGCATGTCATAGCTTGTTTAAGCACTAACTGATATACCTATACCTACAATGCACCTACTACAGCAATCCCTATAGGGAGGGAGACTCTAGAGAGCTAGGGAGGCCGGCCTAAAGGGGGAAAGCAGGCTAGCAGGGGCATTGATGGCATTGATGGGACCCAGAAAGTTGGTTGGCCACCATTGATGGGACTCACATAATGGCCCTGTCACTTCCCTTTATGGTAGCTTTACCAGGACTGATAATTAGTCCAGAAAACGAGCTAACCAGCAAGCCACTAATTGGCTAGGCTAGACAGAATATAAGAGCTTTCTGGTTAGCTGGTTGGCCCTTACATTGAGTGCCCTGTTGAACAGGCCTTAACGTTAGTAAACTGACAACTAGAGCCCCTTTTCCAGACTCTCATGTGACTCGGCAATCCCCATGAGTCACAAACAACTCATTCAGTTCTCGCCCTCTGTTTACCTTTGTTTGTTCTGCCTTACCTATACAAGACTGCGCTCTCGCTTGTAACTTACTTTTAACCTTAATCTAGTCAATATACTGGCTACCTAGCCACTTGCCTTGGTCTACTTGCTCGTCCCTTTGTCTGTGTTAGTAAGCAGCCACCCAGCTGTTGTTGACATTAGATCAAGGTTCCTTAACTCGATCTCACGCTTGTTGCCACCGTAACTGCCTTGATCGCTGTCATCGCTAGGGTTGTCATTGCCGCCCCTATAGTGTGATACCTTCCTCGGGTAGTCCCTGGAAATAATCCACTGTCACTATCGCTATCGTCGCCGTGGAGATTGCACCAGCGCGCCCCACTCAAAGCTTCCATTGTGAAGTTACTCACCGCTTGCACTTGCTGAGCACTGCGGATAACCGCCGTCTCAACACTGCCTTCATTGCTGTAGGAGGACACTGCAGTGTAACTTGTGACTTCATCTATTACCATCACATCTGTTGTCTGGTGGGAGGTCCTACCGGTCTCACCTTCTCTTCTGAGCTTGCCTTTGTTCACCACCTTCCGGCTGACAACACTCCTTTTCCGTGGATCTCTTGGGACATACCCAGTGAACTCCAACTTCCGTCACCTCCATCCTTGCTCATTTGCCGCACATTCCGTCTACCCTGTGCCGGAACCCACTCTCGCCGCACCTAAATCACACCATACATTGACCCTGCCAATTAGCCCGCGAATATTCTGGAGGGTGGCTGGTATGTGAACATTGACGACACCAATGATTTCTGTCTTCTGTCCGGCCTCAACACGGACTTCCTCTTCTATTGTTCGGAATGCACAGATGGCTCGTTCTTCCGGGTCATCAAGGAGAACGCACACATAGCCGCGCGCTCACCCACAGCAGTGCAGCTAGCCACCGCCATCAGCTTCTCCAAGAATCACTTGATCTGCAGTCTCCGGGCCGAGATCGGCACACTTCAGGCCCAGCCGCTGCAGCTGCGGGGCCCTCTGGGCTCCGCTCCGGCCGCTGCCCCTCGCCTCCAGCAAGTATGCCTGCCCTTGGCGCACAGCTTCAGTGGCATACCCACCAAGGAGAGTGCTTACGGCCCTGAGCCGCGCAACTTCACAGTCAGCCTGCACCACTGAGTTAGGAGCGATGTTCTCTCTTGCCAGGGGGTCAGATATTTTACATGTGCTGTGGGGTCTACACGTTATGAGGCTGAATTTGCCTTTTCTTTCAAGGGCAAGTTGACCCAGCCACAGTATGAGCCGGTGGAACCTTCAATGTCATCAGAGTTGAAGGTCGCGTGTGCGGTAGGGCATTCATACAATGCCCAATGTTATGGAGGTGTTAATACTCGCATCTAGAGATCCTGCGCCAAGGCTTTGCTCCCTCTTGTGGAAGGTCACGTCGTGTTGGTGCAAGGCCGACGCACGGTCCAATGCCCCCTGGCCCTTGACGGTATTAGTCAGCTGTGCAGTGAGTACTCCCAAGTTCAGAATGCAGCGTGTGGTGACAACCGCCGCAAAGACAGGTGCAAGAGCACAACATTATTCAGCTCTCGCTTCTGTGGGAATTGCGGGACGCAGGTCTGCGCCAGATGCATTGATAGAGGGCTGGTGAACATATATATTACTTCGAAAGAGTAACCTCTGATAAGGAATGTCTGATCCAGATTCCCGAGTGTCACTTGGGCGCGCACAAATGCTTGATCATTGATGTGTTCAGAGAGTACGACCTCCCAATAGAAGCAGTCAAGACGTGATCTCTCTTGAGGCAGTTCATCCCGTTGACCAATACAGCCTCAGCGACATGCTCAACAAACACAGGCCGGAGGTGACCACAACATCAACTGTGACAGCGGTGGATGTCAGGGTGGTGCGATATGACATCGGCAAACTTAGTGGCCCAGCGGCATTGATGTATCGCAACTCTAATGCCGCCCTGGTGGCTGAATTGCCAGTTGTCGTGCGCGGCCTCACCGACCACAACTGTGTCTTCACACCAACAGGTCTCGCTTCCGCCCATGGCAAAGATAAGGTCGAGATCGTTGATTGCCTCATGGACCAGGTGAAGGAGAAGTCCAACCTTTGTTTCTTTCTCGAGACACTTGGACAGACAGGCGTGGGCGCTTATCCCGCAAAGATACGGGCAAGTTGCTGACAAACATGTAGAGTCTCATACACCATTTGCTAATGTGTACGTATGCCAGGATTTCCCTTCCAAGACGGAAACCATGGAAGACCTGTGAAGGTGTTACGAGTCAAGGCTTGTGGCCCCAATTGTCACTCACAGACACGGTGCGGGTAACATGGAGGCCAGCATGCAAAAGGATTCCAATGGCGCTGATACCGGTAATCCGAGACTTATCCTGTATCCCATCAAACCCTGATCCGATTGACACAGGTCCGAAACTGTACATTGCCGAGAAAGCACCGTGCAGAATGACCACCAGGTTACGTGCTGATCTGAGCGATGTGACAAACATCTTGTGGTGGGTGACGGACAAAGCAAGTGCCGTACAGGGTGGCGCCCAATGGGTATAATGTTCATCGTGACAATATGGAGACCCTGAGGCGGTTCATTTGCTAGCAGACAGCTATATACAATCCAAAATACGGTGATCCCGTACATTGTCAGCTCATACATCTGACACCTGAGCTCATTGACTGGGCCCGGTCTCAGGGTGGAGTGCGGGTATTGACTGTATACCAACAAGCTGGGGAGGCAATATTTATTCTGGCTGGGACCGGCCACCAGGTGAGCAGAGTGGGGTATGGGATGCAGAAGCATTGGCTCATCGCACCCAGGTCACTAACATTGCCAACTGCGTCAAGAGTGCTTCCGACTTTATCTCGTTTGTAAATATGGAGCATACGGCTCAAGCTA